GGGAACCCCTGGGGCATCGTGGGGACGTAGGAACATGGGGACTAGGGGGACATGGTGGGGACAAGGGGGACACCCCAGGGACACTTGGGGACCCCTGGGGACCCCCCGGCGCGCGCAGGGACGTGGCGCGCGGCTACGAGAACGTGCCGATCCCCTGCGTGAACGCGGTGGACGAGGAGCCCTGTCCCGCCGACTACAAGTACATCGCGGAGAACTGCGAGACCTCCACCATGAACATCGACCACAACATCACCCACCTGCAGGTACCGCCGGCCACGGGCGGCAACAGGCGGCCGCGGCCCGGGGGGGCCCGGAAACCGCCGCGCAGGGGGCGGGAGTGGTGGCACAGGGGGAAAAACAGCGGTTTGGGGGCCTTGAAACTGCCATTTGGGGGGTGGGAATGGTGGGGTGGTAAAAACAGAGGGTTCTGTGTCTGGGGGGGGCCTCGAAACAGTCGTTTTAGGGCTGTGGTTGTACAAGGGGGAGCTTGAAACAACCACTTCAGGGGTGGTGGTTGGATCGGGGGGGCCTTGAAACTGCCCCTGTGGGGGCTGAGATTGCTGCAGGAGGGGTAAAAAAGGGGAGTTCGGGGGGGGCCTTGAAACCGCTGCCTTGGGGCGGAGGCTGTTGTGGGGCCGGTGACGGTGACGCGTCCCCCCCCGCCCAGCACTGCACGTGCCAGGACGACTGTTCCTCCAGCAACTGCCTGTGCGGGCAGCTCAGCATCCGCTGCTGGTACGACAAGGTGAGCGGGGGGCAACAGCCGCCGACGGGTGTTGGGAGGGGCCTGGAAACTGCCGTCAGGGTTGGAGTACCCTTGAAACGGCTGTTGGGGACCCTGGAACTGCCCTGGGGACCCTGAAACTGCCGTGGGGAGCCTTGAAGCTGCTCTGGGGACCCTGAAACTGCCTTGGGGAGCCTTGAAACTGCTCTGGGGAGCCTTGAAACTGCCCTGGGGACGCTGAAACTGCCGTGGGGAGCCTTGAAACTGCCCTGGGGAGCCTGAAACTACCTTGGGGAGCCTTGAAGCTGCTCTGGGGACCCTGAAACTGCCTTGGGGAGCCTTGAAACTGCCTTGGGGAGCCTGAAACTGCCCTGGGGAGCCTGAAACTGCCTTGGGGAGCCTGAAACTGCTCTGGGGAGCCTTGAAACTGTTCTGGTGAGCCTTGAAACTGCCCTGGGGAGCCTGAAACTGCCCTGGGGACTCTGAAACTGCTCTGGGGACCCTGGAACTGCCCTGGGGAGCCTTGAAACTGCTCTGGGGACCCTGAAACTGCTCTGGGGAGCCTTGAAACTGCCCTGGGGAGCCTGAAACTGCCTTGGGGAGCCTTGAAACTGCTCTGGGGACCCTGAAACTTCCTTGGGGAGCCTTGAAGCTGCTCTGGGGATCCTTGAAACTGCCCTGGGGAGCCTGAAACTGCCTTGGGGAGCCTTGAAGCTGCTCTGGGGAGCCTTGAAACTGCCCTGGGGATCCTGAAACCGCCCCGGGGGATCCCGAAGCCGCTGGGGGGGGCTGGAATTGGCGCCTGGGGGGCCCCGACACCACCATTGACCCCCCCGTGCCCCCCCAGGACGGGCGGCTGCTGCAGGAGTTCAACAAGATCGAGCCCCCCCTCATCTTCGAGTGCAACCAGGCCTGCACCTGCTGGCGCAGCTGCAAGAACCGCGTGGTGCAGAGCGGCATCAGGTGGGACCGGAACCGGAACCGGAACCAGCACCACCGGAACCGGCACCGGGAACCCCCGGGGGAGCCGGGGACCCCCCCCGAATGGGACCAAATGGGGCCCAAAGGGCCACGGAACCTCCTGAACCAGCCCCAGAACCACTCCGAAATGGGCCCAAATGGGCCTGAATGGACCCAATAGGACCCAAACCCCCTGGGGACAGACCCGGGACCCCCCAAATGGGCCCCAATGGCCCCAGGAACCCCTCAAATGGACCCGAATGGGCCGAGCCCCCCAGCAACAGGCCCTGGGACCCCCCCAAATGGCCCCAACTCCCCCTCCGCCAACCCCCCCCAAAGTCCCAGTCCCCGAACCCTCCGTAATGACCCCAAAACCGGGTGCTCCCCCCACCAGGGTCCGACTCCAGCTCTACCGCACGGCCAAGATGGGGTGGGGGGTGCGGGCGCTGCAGCCCATCCCCCCCGGCACCTTCATCTGCGAGTGAGTGGGGGGGGCGGTGGCTTTTGGGGCAAATCATGGAGGATTTGGGGTTATGGCAGGGGGGAGGGGTGCTTGGAGGTGGTTTGGGGCATTTTGGGGCAATTTGGGGC